CACCCAGTTGGCTTTCATGCCTAACCTAAGGTTGGACTAGAACTCACCATCTCCTGGTGATCGACACAAGATCACCCAGTTGGCTTTCATGCCTAAGGTGAGACTAGATCTCACCCTCTCCTGGTGATTGGCCCAAAGTCATCCAGCCAACTTCCACGCCGAAGTGGGGACTGGAGCTCACTATCTTCTGTCGATCGATCCAAAGTCACCCAGCCGGCTTTCACACCTAAGGGGAGACTAGAACTTAAGGTCTCCTGATGATTGGTCCAACATCACCCAGCCAATGTTCATGCTTAGGGCTCAAATTCACGGTCTTCTGCTTTCTAGCCTGGTGCCTTAACCACTACACCAAACCTCCATTATCATGTTCGCTAATAACATACTCAAATCTTTGTTTTTCTGCTTTGTCCACTTAGAGGCAGCTTGGAAGGGAAGAGAGAGCAGAAGAGCTACAAAGCAGTTTTGGAAAATCCCATGCTGAGGTTCTCTGGGTTGTACCAAGAAACGTGTTCTGACCTATATGTCACCTGCCAGGTGTTTGCAGAAGGAAAGCCTCTCGCTCTCCCTGTCCGGACGTCCTACAAAGCTTTTAGCACCAGGTGGAAGTAAGTCCTCTGGGTTGAGGATCACTAGCGTGGATCCTAAAGATCTCATCTGGACGTCTATGGAGATTCTCTGTCATCCTGGTCAAAAGAAACAAGAGGAAACTGGACTTTCTGGTTTTTCTTTAAAGATGTTTTGCTTCTCATCCAAGAAGCTTCTTCAGCTCTGACTGAATGGTAGAGGATGGAAGAATTTATACTCATTGCAGACAGCTGGTCATTTGCTTCTTTTAGAAGTCATTGAGCCATCTATGTCAAAATTAAACAGCCCTCTGTCAACAGAGGAGGAGGAATACATTATTTATCTCCACTCTACAATTTTCAACAGTTCCAAGATGGTTCCACACCCATTTGCACCACTCGGCTGAGCCTGAGGACACAGATAAACCTCCAAATGGCCTCAATAATTCTCTAAAATAATGCAAGTGACCAGCCTTTTTCAGGGAATATAAATCCTTCCATTCCTCATCATCCAGATCTCATCTGGATGTCTATGGAAACTCTCAGTCATCCAGGTTATAGTTGTCCCAATTTTTTTTTTTTCAAGAGGCAACTAGACTTGAAGTCCACAAGTCTTAAAGTTGCCAAGGTTGGAGAGCCCTGTTTCGGAGTTCATCTAGAAGTTTCTACAAGATAGTTTATTCATTATGGTGACGGCAATGGAAATAAATGGATTGATCATGTTAACAGTATAGTGGGGTCAATAACTGAGTCAGATTTTGAGGTTCTAATCTAGGGAGGGTTAGACCGGTGTAAATCTGAACTAAAACTTAACTTTTCTCCTCAGCTGGAATGAATGGTTAAAACTGCCAGTTAAATACCCTGATTTGCCCCGAAATGCTCAGGTGGCCTTCACAATATGGGACATCTATGGACCTGGGAAAGCAGTCCCTGTGGGTGGCACCACGGTCTCTCTCTTTGGGAAATATGGGTGAGTTGTTTTTCCTTCTCTTCTGCTGTATATTGTTATAATGCTATTATCCTTCTCATCTTTTCTATAGGACCTTCTCCTATTGGTATCTCATGGTTATATTACTTTGCTGTTTATATGTACGCTGAGAGCTTATGCGCTGGAGACAAATTCCTTGTGGGTCCAATCACACTTGACCAATAAAGAACTATTCCTACTCTACTCTACTCTACTCTACTCTACTTCTATTCTACTCTACTCTACTCTACTCTACTCTATTCTACTCTACTTCTCTTCTACTCTACTCTACTCTACTCTACTCTACTCTACTCTACTCTACTCTACTCTACTCTACTCTACTCTACTTCTATTCTGTTCTGTTCTGCTCTGCTCTGCTCTGCTCTACTTCTATTCTATTCTATTCTATTCTATTCTATTCTATTCTATTCTATTCTATTCTACTCTACTCTACTCTACTTCTATTCTATTCTATTCTATTCTATTCTATTCTATTCTACTCTACTCTACTCTGCTTCTATTCTATTCTATTCTATTCTATTCTATTCTACTCTATTCTATTCTATTCTATTCTATTCTATTCTATTCTACTCTACTCTACTTTACTTCTATTCTATTCTATTCTATTCTATTCTATTCTATTCTATTCTATTCTATTCTATTCTATTCTATTCTATT